CAGGGTGAATATGTTTTGGTTTTTTAGGATGTAGAAAAAAAAAAAAAAAAAAAAAAAAATCCCAGACTTCTCCCTAAATGTTCTTTTGATTGTATTTATTTATTTATTTTTGTTAAGTCTACTGTAAAGTAAGCTGAAGGCCACACACCTGCTTCCAACCATGCTTTTTGCAAGCTGCCTTTAGAAATGGTGGTGTTCAGTGCTTTACAGCAAAGGAGCTCAAGCTCCAGCCCCACTGCGAGGCCAGGCAGCATCTCCCCTCTTCCCACATTTGATGCTCTGCCCAAGGGCTCCCTGTCAGCGCTGAGAAAAGCGCCTTGTTCTTCCCATCAGGGACAGCAGGTGACCCAGAGCTGGGAACACCATGTCTGGGACAAATACAGCCATAAACAGACACCCAGCAACCCGCAGCCTCCCCAGTAAGTTGTCCCTGTGGTCAACACCATACCTGTGTGGACGGTTTTGTGGCTGGCAAGGTTCCCCTTGTAGCGGAAGGAGGCCTGGCAGCGGTCACACTTGTAGGGCTTGTCACTGTGGACTTGCAGAGAGTGTCTCTTGAGAGAGGCCTCCTCGGAGAACCGGCAGTCACACTCATTGCAGAAGAAGGCTCCGTTCTCTGGGGAGGCAGAGAGGAGAGCGATGAGATGGGCAAGGCATGGGCCAGCTCCTCAATGGGCCACAGCATGGGGTTGGGGTGGTGGAGAGGGGAAGCCAGAGCAAGTGTTGCAACAAGGAGAACCCCACACATTGGCAGTCAATGGTGCCTACACTGTGCCATTATCTCCTGACCTCCTTGTGCACACAGCAATAACATGCAAGAGGGCAAAGTTGTCATGAGTAATCTCTCCTTCAGTGTGACACACACTGCTTCCAAGAAGCCAGCATCTCGCCTAGACATCTTTCAGAGAGGTCCTCAAAGGCGCCCAAGTTATCAGGCATCCTCCGAAGGATGGATGCTCAACTCTGGAGCAACTCCAGCACCTTTAGAGGTCTTAAACGTTCATATGTACAGATGTCTTCCTTGAGCATGGGAAAAACATCATCATCTGAAACGCAAGGCAGGTTCCCCCACAGGAACTCCCTAACTCTTAAATGCCGTGTGTAGCTTTGAGCATCACCACAGTGGGGTTCCCTTTGTGGCGCTCTGCCCACCCCACAGTTGACAATTCTGCATTCCCCCTCCCTGAGCCACAGGGAGATGGGTGCACAGATACTTGTCTCTGGGCTTGTGGAGTTTTGCAACAAGATTGCAAGCCTCATTATCTGCATTTCTCCAGATGTGCGCATTGGGCTCCCTGATAATGAAGATATCATGACGGATGCATGAGACACACCATCTTGCCCAATCCCCATTAGGGTCATTACATCTGCCAAGCTTGTTCTCCTATGGTTCTGGTGGGGTGGGGTGCACTTTGTTTCCTGTCCTTAACTGCCAAGTTTGCAGCAGGTGACTAACTCCCTGCACAAAGTATCTGGATGGTGCTGGGGAAGGGGAGGAAGGAAGCAATTCCTACACGCGCGTGTCCCTCACATGCATGCACACCGCTGGTCAGCCAGTTGAGAGGGGACTGTAAAGCACCTTTGAGACCCACCAGCAGCAGGGACAAGTCTGACAACCCATTTGGACACAGGGCACCGGCTGGACAGGTCCCCAGACTGCACAGCCCTTTTGCCTGCTGGTTGAAAACAGTGATCGGGGATCTAAGACTCACCGCAGCTGGAGTCAGAGTATTCAGACTGGGTTTCCCCCATCTCTTCTCCAAAGTTTGAGCCAGGGGTATGAAGGCACATCTCAGCATGTTGTGGGGACTGGCAGCCACAGGAGCTGCACTTCGACGAATGCATGTACAGCGGGGACTGCCCTTCGCTGCTCCGAGGGGATCCATCCCGGGACCTGTGGAAGGACAGCAATGCACACAGCCGTGAGAAGGCTTTTGCTGTGCTGGAGCTACTGGGCCCTATTCGCACCCTTTGAGACATGAGACAAAGCCATGTTTTATGGGGACACTTTTGTGGTGAGATGCACAGCATAGCCCTGATCAACAACAGGTGCCTGAGCCTCAATCTTTCCAATGCCCATCACCAAACGACCTCAAAGCTCTCTGGGAACATCCAGGTCCAGAAGATAGGGTCCTGTTCCTTGGTAGCTTGGCTGTTCCAACACTTACAGCCAACCAAAAGCTTGAAGCACAGAGAGTCTGGTGAAAAGCAGGTTCAGCAAATCTATGCTCCAGAAACCATCCAGAGCTGCAGAAGCGAGTCAAGGATTCTTGACCCAATGTTCCCAATTCCATCGCTAGGCCAGGCCGGCACCACTGGTGGGGACAGTTGGCACGCAGCAGATGTCACTGCCAAGTGCTCCACCAAATGCAGGTTTTCACCAGCTCATGACCAGACTCCCCAGTCCAATGCTACAGCTATTTCACACACTTCCAAACCCTCACCAACAGCACAGAGAGCCTTGTCTCTCCCGGGGGGCAGGGAGGGGGGAAATCTTCTCACCTGTTAACAATATTGTTGAGTCTGCTCGCTTGTGGGATAGTAGAGTCTTCTCCATTCACACTTATCTTGGTGGGGGATTGCACGTTGAGATGCTCCGGCTCCATGGACTGCTGGCAAGTGGACATGGGCATGTAGGTGCGAGGAGAGAGGGTTCCCATCTCGTTCTGGTCAGCATTGTCTTGCTTGGTGCTCTGATTGAGGGAGTTGAGGACAATGAACTTGTACTTCTTCCAGTTGCAGGCTTTGGGGTCTGTGGGGCTCTTGGTGAAGAGAGAGCTGGAGCTCTGACTGATTCGGGCGTTCTTGCTGCTGCTGGATTCAGTTGGCGAGTTGGGCTGACAGTCTGACTTCTGAGGACTCTGGGGGCTGATAAGTCCCTTGCGGTCCAGAGACGTGTTGGTGGGCTCAAAGTGCTGGCTGATCTCATCCTCCGAAGAGGTCCGCTCCTCCTCTTTGGCCACTTTGTCGCAAGAGAAATAAGGATTGTTCCGGATTGAAGGGACGACAGGTTTGGGGCCAGAGGCTACGCTGTAGTGCATGTCACTCCTGGCTTCTTCAGTAGCACCTTCTTTTGGAGCATAGATGGTAGCGTGGCACATGTTGGCCGAGATGTCGGTAATGGTTCTCATGTACTCGGTGGGGATTGTCCTGGAGCTGTCACATGGCAGGATCCTCTCCTTGGGGAAGGCACCTGCCCTTGAGAGTTCAGAGAGAGGCATCCTCATCTCCCGCAACTCATCATCCACAAGGAAGCTATTTAGAGGGAGAGGGCTGTATCCATGGTAGGAAATGGGGGATCCAGACAAACTATTGATCAAGCCAGGCGCGAAGGCCCTCCCATTGCAGAGGGACCCATTCTGGAGAGGCATGCCATTCTCTGAGACATCTCTGCTCCGATAAGCCATCACTTCTGGGTGGCTCAGCATCCGTCCAGCCAAAAACTCTTCCCTTGGGGTCTTCACAGCAGACACCATCTCTGCTTCACTGGAACCAGACAAAAAAGGAGGGAAATGCAATCATTTTCAGCCCATAAGGATACGTTTGCAGATTCTTTGTCAGTTCTCCCCCGCTCCCACCCAAACACACCCTTCCCAGGCTCTCCAAAGTTCACTCACGGCGCTCACCTAGACTTGACAAACCTTCGGCAGGTATCAACCACGTGCTCCATCTGCAGGTACAGCGCTGTGGCCATCACGGCCATGATGTTGTTCTCTCTCAAGTTCAGGCGGGACGTATACATGAAGTCCAACAGGATGCAAAACCCCTCAGGGTTAATTTCGGGGTCCAGGTTGATGACATTCAAGTTGCACTTGAGCTGGTCAGTGAAGATGCTGTAGAAGAGGCCGCTGCAGAGACGAGACAGCAGAGAGGTGTTATGACAATTTAGAGGAAGAAAGGAGAATTTGACTCAAATCCCTTAACACAGAGGGGTTCATGAATGGAAAGGGAGGAGGATGCAATTACAGAATTTCCTGAGCTTCCCCCTTATTATCAAGCCTGGTTTCTCAGCTTAGTAAGCATCTTCTGCACTGCACTTTTCCCAACTGGAACAGCCTGCTTTTAGATCTCACCTGCTCAACAACTCCCCACTGCCTCCATTTAGAAATTCCCTTCTTTTTTTTTTTGTCATTGTTCTTACCACCCCCCCCCTTCCCATTGTGACTCATTTCTTTCAGAAGCCTCTTGGGGCATCCACAGTAACTCTTTAACATAAAAAAAAAAGAAAAAAAAAGGAAATGTCGGCAAAACATTTTTCAGATTTCTTAATAGTCAGACCTTGGCTTTTTTGAATCTTTCTACCTTGTCAGCAGGAGACCCTGGAAGGCATCTGCTGTAATTCAACTGGGCAACAGTGGGATGTTAATTAGTGTTCACTAGGAAGCAATTCCAGAAATCCTAGGAGCTGGAAAGGGATTTCAGACCCCACCAGGCTTGGAAAAAACCAAAATCAACAAAGGTGGGTGCAGCCAGGAGCCAGGAAAGCTTAGCTCTAAAAATAGCAGCAGCAGGGGACACTGCGGTCACAGGGGACTTGCTCACCCCAGCGAGCATCCAGCCCTCCCTCCTCTCTCCTCCTGTCCTGTCCCATCACTGCAGAGCGTTTGTGCTTTGCCTTCAAAGATGTGCCTCACATCTGCTGTGCTCCTGTTTGTCTCTATGGGCTGCATGTGGGCAGATGTGGGCACGCAAGGAGGAGAGAAGTGTGGGCACCACGCTGGAGGCAAAACATCTCAGTTCTAGTCCTGTTACAGGTACAAATTTCTTGGCAGCCCCTTTCAGTTCTGCTTCTCTGCCTCCATTTCTCCTGTCTAAACCCCATGAGTCTCCCCAGGACGGCAGCAGTGTTGCTGGTGGCCAAAGGCCGAGGGAGCAGGGAAGGGAGGCAGGGAAGGGACTCTGCTCTCACCTGCAGGCCATCAGGACTGTTTTGTGGGCTCTGAACTGCTCCCGGTTCACAATGATGACAACATCGGTCAGGATATCCCGGCTTCTAAGGCGGTTGAGATTGAGGAGGACATCGCTTGCATGGCGGGTGAACTGGATGCAGCTGTCTGCTGGTGAGGCCATCTTGAGTCTGCTCGAAACAGAAGCGGGAGGAGGATGAGAAAGGATAAGCGGCCAGGAAAATACCCTAAACCCAGCGAAGAGACAGCTGCTGCTCTGGGATGTGCTCAGATGGCCAACCACTGCTGGTAGGGACAGCACCAGCTCCTCAGTCCCAAGACAAACAGCCCTGCACCATGCCAAGTGCCTGCCAAACTGCCCAGTGAGGTCCCTCGGCCAGCAGCGAGACCTGGCATGTTTCAGTCCCACCCAGTAAGCTGGCAGGCAGAGGCGACCAGACCCTCCTGAGGATTAGCTAACCAGCTCCTCTTTCTCCCTGCCTCGCCCATGGCGGCTCCACCCCAGCCCACTCCTCCCACCACCATTCGGGTTCATCTCCATGAAGCTCCCAACACAACTCCCCAGCCTCCAGATCTTCCTCAGATGCCATCCCCCTCATCTGTCTGCTGGCTGGCAGCAAAACCAGCCACGGCAATCAAAACAAGCCTTGAAGGTCCCAACTGAAGCTGAAGGATTTCAACATCTGGAAATTCCAGCCCACAGTGGAGCACCAACCCTCACCCCACCAGCAAATTACTTTCCTGCTCCCAAGTAGTGGCCACTCTAGAGAAGATCTGTCCCCAGTTTCCCAATGAATGTGTGGTGGCAGTGAGGAACAGAACTCATCTAACCTGCTGGGCTGCTACCCACACCACAGCCCAGTCTCTCCCAGTGGGCAAGGCTTGGGTTAGTCGAGGAACACGAAGCCTTCCCCCAACACAACATCTGTTGACCCATCTCAGAGCTGTCCTCCCATCCAGCACCCAGGAGAGCCCACGTTTCCCTGTGCCTGAAGTTTGGGCTGGAACGTGCATCTTCAGCATCAAATTCCTCCATGATCAACCCCCTCCCGCTGCCCGAACTCCTCCTCCTTCCCCAGCAGCATATGAACGTACAGTATTTTCTACAGAGCAGCTGCTCTCCTGAAAACGAATTCCAGCTGGGTCTAATGAAACATTTCATTCAACATGGTAAAGGGAAGGGAGGGGGAGCGAGGTTAGGAGGGGAAGCACAAAATTTAATTTACATACCCAATGCCTCAATTCACAGTCCAAAAGTTTCTTTCAAACCTACAAATAAAGCACAAGAAAACAAACGCCACATTAGCTGGTAATTATGAATTGGCCGTGGCAGGACACAAGCCTGCTGTTTCACTCGAGTATCAGTTGGATAAAAGCTAGAGATAACAAACCTTCTACTCTCCAGTAAGGTTAACATTTGTTTCTTCCGGTACAGTACGTTCTTATCACAACCACAGGCTTTGAGAATCCAATCATAGCTGCTTCCACACCCTCTAGCCCAAACCATGGGCGTATGCCAAGGAGATTTTCATTTCCATGACTCAGGAACTTAAAGGCAGGTGGGGAAGGGAAGTCAAGCGAGAATTTTCTCACCACTTCTTTTGGAGATAACTCTTCCCCTGCCAAGATCAAATTCCTGGCCAGTGCCACATCCAAGACCAATGCCATATTCCCAGCACCTTGTTAATAGGTATGACTTACACACAAACATCTGCTGCCACTCTGCTCAGAAACCTAGAAAGAGCCTGAATCCAGTCCTCCAAAACAGCTACTCCCCTTCTCAGAATACCCACGCACTCCAGCCACCGGTGAAAACGCCCTGGGACAGCACTGCTGAACAGACTTGGGAGGACACAGGCGTCAAGTACCGAAGTGACTTGGCCAGGATGACAGAGGAAGCCAGTGGCGGAGACGGATGAGGACCCAGAACAAACGCCTTCCTCTGGCTGCTGGAAAAGCCTTCCCCTAAACCACAAGCTTTGTCTCCAGCCACTTGCTTTACAGGCAACGCAGCTGGGGAGGCACGGCAAGGAAACCCAGGAGTTAACTGCCTTCCACAACTCACGCTATTGCTCTCAAATTTACTTAAAACCAAGAAAGACAACTGACCTGGCACTAACGCAGGAAGAAGGTCCTCAGGCAGCCCGCCCCAGCAGGGAGAATCACAATAAATAATTGAACTAACAAAACCCCGGGACCTTCCTCATGCTATGTTGAGGACCCCCAAAAACCAGATGGAGACAGTAAGACTATCAGCACTTGCAGAGAGCCTACCCAGCCCTGCGAGGACAAGCCTCCCCTTCCCTTGCGGGAGATGCGGATCTGGAGCCCAAGCTCCCCTCATGCCCCCGAGACGCTGGGGTGGGACGAAGAGGTGAGATTCAAGGCAAGGTATCACACGCGAAGCCCAGAGGGGCGTCTCACAGCCATCAAACGCAAATCCGCAGAGCCGCTCTGAGCCTGGCCAGCTTATAACTTTACACACACAAAAAGTGACTCATTTCCCAAATACTGCAGACTCTGACCTTTCCGTACATGCTCGCTGCCAGCCGCTCGCTACCGACAATCGCGAGCCAAGGGCCTGGCGGCGCTCAGCAAGGAGCCCAGCAGGCATCTGTGCGTCCCCACGAGCGGACGTATGCATCCGGGGCAGCTGGCCGGCATCCCCACCCTGGCCACAGCGGAGGATGCGCTCCCAGGGGCTCACCCCGCTGTCACAGACAAGGGGAGGTGACCCATCCTTAAACCAACAAAGCTACGACCTGCCAGATGAACTCTGCGCCCATGAGCATCACGTGAAAAGCTGCTGCTGTCGCTAAATTCCCTTATCCACAGCACTGCCCGGCCAGGAAAACACCCAGGTCCTCTCCTAGGGCTGGACCCCAGCACAGCCCCCTCTCCACCCTCCCAAATTATCCTTCCCCAGCAGAGTGCTGCTGCTGCAGCCGCCCTGGAAGCCGCAGGTGCATCCCAAGCGGCTCCCGCCTGCAGGATGTGGGCATGCAAAAGGGAAAGGGACCTTCCTTCCCCTCGCAGTGCAGAGCTGGGTTAACCCTGCTCCTCCCGGCCTCTGCGCAGCACCAGCTCCACACCCCAGCACGGGAGGATGCTCTGACCAGAGACCAGCAGAGACCGGTGATGGGGACCACCAGAGCCAAGCATGGCCTTCTCCATCCCGCCCCCCTCAAAGCCCACCAGGCTCCCCCAGGCTCAGCTGTGGCCAGAGCATCACCCCAAGCCCCCCCCCTCCAGTTTTCCTGCCCAGTACCTCGCAGGTGTGGGCTCTCCAGCAGCGCTCAGGGCTGCGCATCAGGGCTTGCTGTGCCCAGGGAGGAAGGTCTGGGCCAGCCACGGGGCCCATGTCGGGGTTGGCCACACGGGACTGCCACTGCTGCTGCCTTCCAGGAAGGCAATGGGTCTGCCCCAGCGGTTCAGGGAACGGCCCTTCCCTGCCGGCACCTCCCCGAGAAAACCCATTCCTGGAAGGGAGCCCAGGGCTGGCTCTGCCCTCCCTGCAGCCGGCTCAGCGAGCACGGGCAGGGAGCACCTTCATACGTAGGGGAACCCCTCTCAGATCCACCCCACGCAAAGGGAAGACCCTCACAGCTCTCCCAACCCACAGCGGAGGGGAGGACCAGGGACTTTACCCTTCCACCCCCATCCATCTTGCTGCCACGCACAGGGAAACCCCTCCATCCATCCACTCTCCCATTTATAGGCAATCCCTTGTCATCCATCCTCCTCCAACCCTGTGCACAGGGGAGACTCCTTCCTCCCCCACTCCTCTGCACATGGGGGAAACCCCCTTGCCTTTGCCCCTCTCCCACCCCCAAATGCATAGTCTAAGGGAGGAAACCCATCACTCCCCCTCCCTGGGGCCCAGGTCTCCTACCCCTCCAGAGCCTGCAGCGCCGACTCCCTCTCATCACCCAGGAGGGGGTGGCTGGGTGAAGTCTCCCTTCCCCACAGCCTCATCCCACACAGTGCTCCGAAACTGCCCGCCCAGAGGAAGCTCCATCCTGCCCCCCCCTTCCTTCCCCTGTCCCAGCACCCTGAAGGGTCCCAGCCCCACAGGAACAACCCCCCCACCTACCAGGGCAGGCTGCCAGCTGCCCCCCCACCCCACCAAGGGATGCCCACTTCTCCTGAACAGGGGATCAGAAGGACAAACAAGGAAATGGGGTGGTGTGGGGGTCCCCCCAGGGCACAGTCATGAGTGCTACAAGCCATGGCCAAGAGGATGCTCTTGGCCGGGGGTGTGCAAGCACCCAGCTCAGCTTTCCCGGTGTCATGCAATCAGGGGGCACAAAGCATCCTTTAGCTGTCACAGCACAGTTTTATTAATTTAGTAGCTTCTGGTTGGTGTCTAAGCCAAAACGTGGCTGGGTTAATAATAACCCAAGAAGAGAGGGAGAGAAGTCCTAGCGCACAGTGTCAGCACAGATCAAAAGCAGCATCACTGCGCGAGCCCCGTCGTTTTTTCCATCGTCCCCTTCCGTGAGCGGATTGCACTCTCTCTATCGAGCGGTCTCTGCTAACTTTCAATCTGATCCAATTTCCTGCCAGCAAACAAATGTTTCTAGGAAATGCAATACATTATCTGGACGGGTTTATTATCAGCATTTGGAACCAGGAAAACTGCATATTTTCTCGAGCGCTGCAGGGAACTTTATAGTTCGTACTTCAAAAGAGGGTTTAAAAGGATTGCCCTTGAAAGCTGGCCCGGCTCAACTCTCCACATTGTTTTGGTCTTTGCAGAAGAAAACGCGGAGGAGGGGGGGGAAGCACAGCAGAACTGCCTCCAATGTTTTCCCACTGAAGAGGACTCCCCTGCCTTCCACGGAGCCAAGCTCTGACTGCGAGGCAGAGGCAGCGCGTGCCCTTGGGAAGCGAGGAGCCAAGCACTTCAAACGACCCCAAGCAATCTGGCACATTAATTTTTCAAGGGAAGGCAGGAACGGCGTCCCAGCCAGAGTCGAGGGAGCTGCTCCAGAGGGCAGGGAACCCACACCGTGCCCTGCCGACACCAAGCCCTGCACCCAGCTGCTGGCTCAAGAGCAAGGTGCAGCCAGAGCTGATCATCTCCAGCACCTGAGTCCGGTCCCTGGCTGGGCTCAGAGATGTTCCATCATCCCCACCACGCACCAGGGCGGTAAATCACCAGCCGGCACCGACCCGACCCCCCCCCCCCAGGACTGAGGGTGGCACAGCTCATCTTGGCAGCAAGGAACTGCTCTGGCATCCCGCCTGGATAGGACGAGACACGTATGCAGCTTGGGGTCCCCTGTCCAGGGAGAGGCATCCCCTCACCACTGTGTTAATTTAACCACTATGTTTATTTGACCTTTATTTAAGGAATCCCATTTTAGAGGGTGCCTGGTCCTACAGGACGTGTTCTTCAGGACCCACTGCCCTATCATGGGCTTGTCCCAAGCTTTCCCCCCCGTAAGCAGGGATCCCACATTCCTCACGTGTACCCAGCACACAGCCCAAAGGCAGACGCCGACCAGGAGAAAGAGGGGGAAGAAACCAACACAGCCCCTAAATTTCCCCCCTCTCCCGCTGCCCTTTGCTCTCCCTGCGTTTTAGATGTGAAGCTCCACTGAGGGTTTTAGAGCAGTCCCAAAGACGAGACGCTTGCTCTGATTCAGGGGTGTGTGTCTTTTGGCTGCCAGCGTCCTGCAGCAATGGGAAAACACAAGATCTAGCATGGATTTAAAAAAAAAAAAAAAATTGCGGGGAGGACTACATTTGCAGTCTAAATTTGCAGTCTGAAGAAGTTTACTGGTCAGATGCTGACTTTTGGATACTCATCTAACCAAACTGCAAACTGTGAACTCCTGAGGTTTGCCAATGCCTGCTGTAAACATGGAAACCAAGTGTCACTTTTTGCCAAACAGAAGAATAGTTTAAAAATAGATCAAGAAAAGAATACAGGCACTCAGCATACAGGACTCCTGTTTATAGACTCCCATGCTACTATAAAACGGAGCAAGAGGTTATGAGCGCGCAGGCAACTTTTCACCAAATTTAGATTTTACAAACTTCTCAGAAACCTGAAAACAACATTTCAGGCTCCAACAGAACCAGTAAAAGCTCTTCATCTGGAGTCTGCAGTCCAAACATTACAGCACACGGATTAAAACAGGCATGAAACAGCTCTTCAGCAACATAAGTACATGAGAAATGCACCTACTGCTTAGAGGTTCATTTTGCTCATCTATAGACTTTGTAACAAGATATTCTTTTTAATGGAGTATTGAAATAAAAT